TTGAAGGTCGTAACGGTTCAATCACACAAATTCCCATTCTTACTATGCCAAACGACGATATTACACATCCAATTCCTGATTTAACTGGTTACATTACTGAAGGTCAAATCTACGTTGATCGTCAACTGCACAACAGACAGATCTACCCACCAGTCAACGTATTGCCTTCGCTGTCTCGTTTAATGAAATCTGCTATCGGTGAGGGCATGACACGTAAGGATCATTCGGACGTGTCCAACCAGCTGTATGCTTGCTACGCTATCGGTAAGGATGTGCAAGCCATGAAGGCTGTCGTCGGTGAGGAGGCTTTGACGCCTGATGATTTGCTGTACTTGGAGTTCTTGACCAAATTCGAAAAGAACTTCATTGCACAAGTGAGTTTTTTTCTTGCGGAATTAAAGTTTTTTTTAATATAAATACCAATACAAATATTCCCTTTTTGTTAATTTTTTTTTCTGTGCAGGGTAACTACGAAAACCGTACCGTCTTCGAATCGTTAGACATTGGCTGGCAGTTGCTGCGTATCTTCCCCAAGGAGATGCTGAAACGTATACCAGCTTCTATTCTGGCTGAATTCTATCCCAGAGACTCGCGCCATTAAATTTATTTTTAAACGTTACTTTGCTTTTTGTTTTATCGGTTTTACTTATAAGCTGCAGTTTTAACGCAATGCGCGCCATCGACTTACATGCATTCATAATTTACTGATTATATAAAGTAAAAGGCGCGTGGAAAGTCGTTAATACCTCGTTAAATATACAATGTAATCAGTTTTTCTAAAAACAGCTATTGTGAGTTAATTGTAAAATGGGATAAATATACAAGTGCATATGGTACATATGAATGCAAATATGCTGCAAACTGCAACTGAAACTGGAACTAATTAATCATAGTCAGGCAAATATGGTTAGAGAAAAAGAAAACAAAAGAAAATATAACAGCAATAGCACGCGTTTGATTATTCATACGTCCGCTATGTGTGGCGTTACAATATTTTATTATAGTTTATTAAATTATAAATGTGTTAGAAAAATTTTATGCGCTTAATAATTGAACCTTTAAATAAAGCAAAAGTCAAAGTCATGTAAAAGATAAATAAGGCAATACGATAACACACTCAGTAATTATAATGTAAATATCTAAATGTTTAGAAAAATGAAATTAGATAACTGCTGTAAACAAAGCAACAGAAACTTGTATTTTCTTGTTCATTTTCGCTTTGTGTAAATTTTTTCAAATTACATCAGTTTTGAGCACTATTCTTCGTGCCGTTCATTACAAAAATATATTACTGTTTTAATTATTTTGAAAAAGATACAAAACTTACACAGAAGAAAAGTAAAAAATATTCGGGCAGGTTCTGCAATTTACTTCCGAGTGAATTTCAACCCCTGCCAATTTGAATTCAAAGCGAACTTGGCTTAAATTCACTCGGTAGTGAGTTGCAGAACCTGCCTGATTAGCAGTTTTCATATCGCCGCCTACACCCTTACCACCCTCAAAAGCTGCTATATTGTTTTTTCACCGTTTTTTAGTTATTAAGTTTGAAACCTTTACTTAACAACCAAATTGCAAACATTACACGCACACAATTTCTCACACCTACATATAGAGCATTCCAACTAAGATATTTTTAATTAAAGAAAGTAAAAAAAAAAATGTTTTTGCATGTTTGTCAATACAAGTATTAACCGGTCTGTCCTATATTGTCTCGCACGCGCACGAACCCAATCGTTTGGTATGTACAGCAATCTTAAAACCTTTAAATAGCCAAACTCTGTGAAAATCCAGAAGTCGAGATTTAGCTCCAGTCATCAGTTCACAAATTTAGTAAGTCATTACATACACATGCTAGCTTTTTGTTTCTCCAGTTTTGAAGCTTTCTATTACTCATTCAAATTAAACACATACAAAATATTACTGTAATTTCTTTGAGCAATTCGGAAAAGTTATTAAAACTATTGCAAGTAACAATAATACTTAATAATGTAATGTTGTAAACTGTAAAATAATTGGAGAGCAGCAAACAGTTGTAGAAAAAACTATTGAATATAAATTAAATACAATTTATGTATGTACTATGTATAAAAGAAAATTTATGAAACTATGTACTATATCAACCTCAAGAATAAAGTGAGCGACAAAATGTATTACTCTGTTAAATGGTGGTTTTTATTGCTGACAAAGAGGAAAGGTAAGTTTTCGTTAAGTGCAGAGAATTCTTTTTAAATAGAATAAAGACGAGTAGAAATATGTTATCTTAAGCCAATTTAGATATTTAAGTTAAGCGTAAATCAATATCAATACCAATTATCTAAAGAGGAGTCCCTTTTATTGTAACAAGTAATCTACCGAACGGCTGGTCAGATTTTCATAAAATTTTCTTTGTAAATAAATTTAAGCAACCACCATATCATAGGCAAAACAATTACTTTTTTCCGGAAGGCGGACCAGGGACCGATCTATTCGAAAGAATATTTTTTTTTGTTCGATTCGCTTGAAATTTGGCACGTAGGCAGTCTTTTGCCTAGATTAGCATATAAAATACATTTTTGCCGGTAAGTGGACCAGGAACCGATCTGTTCGAAAAATCGTATTTATGGTCCGATTTGCTTAAAATTTGGTACGTAGGTAGCTTTTTGCATAGATTAAGATATAGTATCCTTTTTTCCGGGAAGTTGACCAAGGATCGATCTATTCGAAAGAATCTTTTTTTGGTTCGATTCGCTTGAAATTTGGCACGTAGGCAGTTTTTTGCCTAGATTGGCATATAGGATATTTTTTTCGGTATGTGGACCAGGGACGGATCTTTTCGAAAATTTTTTATTCATGGTCCGATTCGCTTGAAATTTGGTAGGTAGGTAGGTTATTGCCTGGATTAACCTAAAGGATACTTTTTTCTGATAGATGGACAAGATACCGAGGTATTTCATATCCATCCAATACTCATGGAGAAAACTAGGGGTTATTGGAAAAGGAGGCGTGGCGCCTTCCAGGCATACTGAAACCTTTACCTATCTGTAGATACATATCGTTACCTTAATTCACAGAGGCCCTAACCGACTTTATTTTGAAACTGGGGTTTTCACAGATTTTGGTAGGTTGTATTTAAATACACCTTCAATAAAAACTTTAAAGAGCTAGTACCAAAAACAACCGCATGCCACCTTTTTTGATACTCATTTTCTAATGTTTTTTGTTTCTCCTGTGAAATAAAAATGTGTATTAATTCCCGAGTAGATCCGGATCAACGCTGACGTCTGTATATGCTTTAATGCAATGGAGGATATGCCTTCTGGCGACAACAAAACCAATCGTGACCGTGAATTGTTGTTGAAAATGTTCGACCAAATGTTTAAATAAAAATTTAATTTTGGACGGGGCGAAGTCCCGGGGTTTGCTAGTTTAATATAAATTTAGGGTTTGCTAGTTTAATATAAATTTAGAAGTAAAATAGAATGAGTGTTCACACCGGCCTGGTTATCGGATTATCTGATTATAAAAATCGTAACAAAATTTTATATATATGTACATACTTTAAAAGAAAGTTAATGCTTTGATACTAAAAACAATTAAGAAAAATCAATTGCCCTACTTTGAGTTGGAAAAATGTTTATTGAAAAATTTTCAATGAACAATTTCCTCGAAAAAATAATTTTTTAACGTTTTTTTTTTATATCTGTAAGTCGTGAAAGCTTAATTAATATAATTTTATTAAAATTAAAATTTATAAATAATTCTCAATTACTTTTAATCATAAAAATGTACATACATACATGTACACATGAATGGGCATACATTGAAAGTAAAGCGCATATAATGAAAATTTGGAAAAAATTTTGTGACCAAACATTGTAAGCAAAGTTAAAAAGAAAAAAGTTTATACAAGGTTTGAGTAAAAAATTTATTAAATTAAAAAATGTTTCTTATTTTGCTTTTTGAAGTAATCTTTCTGTTGTGGGTTCTTAACGAAATTTTTGCGATGGATAAAAATTTCTATAAAACTTCTGAAGGAAAGTTATAAATATTTAAAGTTGATAGATAAATTCGCTTAACCAATTATTTAATAATTGCGTGTTGCTAAATACTATTGAAGGAACTTAACCTTAGTTTAATATTTAACCTAAAATATTTTATGAGATTAGAAGTCTTAAATTAATTTGTAGTAAATTAAATTAGTTATAATTGATATCTATTTCATTATTAACACACATAAATTACCAACAAATAAATGAATGAATAAATAAGTAGATAAGTTTAAAAAAAGAATACATAAATACAAAAATTAATTTAAGAAATAAATTAGCACATATGCATATATATGTCCATACACATGTGCATATGTATAGCTATGTACATATGTAAGTAAACAACAAATAATTAGTTAGAAAGGGACATAACCTATAAGAAAACTTATTAATTGGTTAATAGTTTGTCAACGCCTTTCAGTTAAATCTATACAAAAGCAATAATATAAAAGCTTAATTTTTTATTATAAATAAATCAAATAAATCTAAAATAGTATATTTAAGTTAGCCTCCTTTCCGTTCTTTAGCTAAATAATTTCCAAATTGAAATCGTCTCATGTAAACACCGTATTAGTCTGTGCCAAGAAATCCGGACTTGGTAGCAGCAGCAGCGTAGCTGATTTGATTAGTTTCGCGTTGGCGCTTGTAATCTGTTTTTTTTTTTGCTAGCATTTTACTCTGAAATGTAATTTTTTTTTACCTATTTTTAAATTTTAGAGTGCAAAATCAACAATAGTGCTAATACCTCTTTACTGTGCCTTGGTTTACGTTAATTTTATGTATGTACATAATTACATTTGCCAGTTCTTAATTGCATCTAAGAAAAAAGGTTAAAGGACAAAACTTTTTTTCCAGACTTTATTAAAATTTTTCCACATTACTGGACATCAGTGGATGTACATGTTTAAATAGTTTTTTTTTCGGCACAGGAGGAAAAATCCTAAGCTTTCGGAATGATCATAATTTCAATTCGAGCGTTATTATCGAATAAAATGCCCTTTAGGAAGCATCCAAGGAATGCCCAACAAATTTGAAATAAGCAAATTTTGTGGTTATCTTTCAAATATATTCACCTCAAAAATTCATTGTATGTAATCGCTTAACAGTAACAAGAAATATATAACATAATAAATTCAACGAAATAGTAAATTTTTCTTTCATATACATTTGTAAACTTTCAATATTTTCTAAATCCACATCCCAACGTAAGGCAATGCAAAACTGCTGCCGCCAACATCAGCCATGAACAAATATTGTATGCCATTACTCTATTGGCCATGGAGGTACTGCAAGGCTCTTGATTTTTATTGCCAAAACGACAGACACATTCACCGTGTTCGCATTGCAACAACTGCTCCTTCTCGATGAGATGTCCATTGTGACAGTGTCCGTGGTGACTACAATATTGACCAATTTCTGCAAAGGAACATATTCCAAATATTTTAACTACTGCATTTTGGAGGTATGTATATATGTGGATATGCATGCACATTGGACCTCAGCAGAAAAAAAGTTCGTCGTACACCCCTTAATATTAAGTACTTTTGCAAGGCAATTTCGATTTTTCATTTTTTTTTCGAGGATATGATCCTCGGCCATGCAGTCGGATCTTAAAGTAAGACAAATCGATGTTATTCTCTCGATGAGACTATTTTTTTTTTGTTGGTCCAAAATTCATAGACCTAAATCATCCCGTGCTAGTACTTACCCTTAGTTCTAATCACACTAACGTACCACGCTAATGTCAGTAAATCAAAGCGCACTAAATTAAAGCTAAGAAAGTATTTTAATTATTTCAGTGGAACTATTAAAAAATGCTATTGCCGAATGTAGTTGTACCGCAAAATGTAAATATTTTTTTTTTTAAATTGCCTTGCAAAAATAGTTTATACTGAGGGGTGTATGGCGAACTTATTTTGTTTGCTTGTAAGGTGGTACGGTCTAATGTACATACATACATATGTACTATACTTACGCACTAAGCGCTCGCAAATTAATTCCTTAGGACTGGCATCACTTTGCTTCTTTACCACCGCATATTCCTCCTCACAGCGGCACTTGCCATCTTCACACACAGCTCCGGGTCCCATCTTTATATTGCATTGCTGCGTAACGACGCAATTCTCTCCAATTCTTTTTCCTGGTAGACAATCTTTTGAGTCGTTAGCGCGTACATAGCCTTGTTCGCATACACACTCATCAATGTCTTGTAAACAAATCTTGTGCGATCCATGTTCTGTGCAGTTATTTTCAACAGTGCACTTGAGTCCAAGCACTTTCGGAGCTAGAGCAAAAGATTTGTAAATGTATAAAATATATTGTAGACAAATTTAACTTCCACCAAGAACTTAGAACATTTGAAGAAACGGGATATCTAATCTTACGGTTCGATTATATTATTGGTAATTTGCAAATAAAAAATATACATAAGGATGCATCGCTCTACTACAAAAAAAAAAAAATTTGGCACTGTTTTTCACCGGAATTGTAAATTCTTTATATTTAGAAAGGATATTAAGGTTTACTTGAGCTGGACCAATTTGCAACTGCCTCCAAAAATCGATAAAAAAAGTTTTAAAAATATTTTTTCAAAAAATCAACTCAGATGATAGAAGAGTTTAAGTTTAGAAGGTCTGCATAAAAATGTTTAAAAACTTAACAGCGCAAGTATTTTCAAATCAGTACAGCTCACATAAGCCTTCATATTTTTATGAAATATTTTGAGGCATAAGTTTTATAATTCCGGTGGAGAAAACAGACACTCTTTTTGGCGAGGCTCCCAAGTACATATAGCTGCGTTCCAGTGCAAACTCCTAAGATGAGGACGTGCAGCAGGATATATGCCTTAATTTTAATTCGGACAATTTTATAGGTATTAAGTATATTTAGAATTCTACATCATTATAATAACGCACTTTTCTCGATATCATTTTATAACTCACCAGTTTTCGCCAGGCAGGTGGTACCTTTCCTCTGAAAGTCATCATTACAGGTGCAACGGTTCGTATTATTGGCACAGTGACTGAAAATGCTCGAGGCGAGACATTGTTCGTCCGTCGCGCATATTTCACCTAATGGTACTTCCTCTACAAAAATAAAAAGTAAATAATTTGAAAGTAAAGTCTTTCAGGTACTGCTGACTAACGCACTTGGAATACACCGCCTTCGGTCCTTCGTGGGCACATAATCCTCTATGCAATAACAGATATTTTCCAGTAGATTACATTTGGCATCTGGTATTTTACATGGACAGTTCCCGCCGATTATATTATTTCTACGGAGAGTCTACAGAGCTACTTATTTAGAATTCTTATTTTAAATTATTTCAAAATAACAACTTGATTTTCACCAATGTTCGTATCGTTGAAAAGTAATTTACCTTCGGTTTGCAGAAGGTCTTCATATTCGTTTTGTTGTTGTGGCAATGGCAAATGCCATTTAAACAAATGGAGTTGATGTCCTCCGCTTCGTAATAGACACATTGATCATCGTCAATGCAAGATACCTCCATTAATTCTAAAAAAAAAACACATTTATGGATGTACTATATATTTAATAATTATAAAAAAAAAAATTGATAAAAACTGCATCATCAAAATAAATTTTATTCGAGTCCAGCGACTTTGTTTTGGGGTTGGTACTCGTATAACACAAATAAGCTTGTAAATACATAATTCAATTTGTTTTTACCTTCGGAAATCATTGCTAAAGCTAAGCTGATGATTTGCAAAACAGCCAAAGTAGGTAGAACTTTCCATTTGTTTAAATTAAACATTACACGCTACCAATTTTTGTAGTTTTTGTAAGAAAGCACAAAATTTGTTAGTTTAAATAAGATTTAGTTGGTTAGTTAAATGCTTTTTTCTTTTAAAGAATTTGCAGATTCCGTGCGATGCTACTTGAAGCTAGAAATTACTGAAGTTCTGATCATTTACTGTTGGTTCTATGTACATAGTGAATACATTTGTATGTATGTATGTATATATGGAAATAAGTATATATAGCATTTTCTAGATTTATGTAAAACGTATAATGGCTACTAGGGTGATCATATCGAGCATTCTATGGAAATGTTAAATTTGAACAATATTTATAAATGGCGAAAATAAAGTAAACACATTTAGTTACAAACAAAAAAAAAATTAAAATTATAAAAAAAATTATTTTCTTTACATAAAAATTAAAAAATTTTGTGAAATTTTTTTAATATTTAGAGCAATTAATTTCGTTACGCTAGATCAGCTAAATCGCCCACTGTGCGACGGTTTTAATTTAACTGAGGAAACGGAATTTTTGACGACAGAAACACAGAAAAGCATATATTTTCATTAGCATCAAATTTATTAAATGTTTTTCAAAAATTATCCTGCCATGACACAAGCCAATTAGATTTATTTACTTCATTGGTTTAGATCCGATCCTTTTTTTATACGAGAATTGAGGTCGGTTTTGTTTTTTTGCTTAAACATTACTTGTTTTCAATTTCAAGTAACACTTTTATTTCATAGCGAATATACATTCATGCGTTCCACGCCCACTGGAATATATGAATGCAACATCTCAGCATATGTATCTTCCTGTGTTTACAAAATTTTCGTTGCGCAAAATACTCGTGGTTGGTGTCCTCGCTGGTAGTAATGGGAAATCGAAAAATAGAAAATAATTATTTTAAAAATAGTTTCCTTCTTCTCAGTGTTCCTATTGTCAGCAGTTCCGTATCCTCAGTTCTATATGCTCAAATCGTTGTTTGTATAAAGGGCTCGTTTGCTCGGTCTTTCGATTTATGTGAAAAGTTTTAATAAATCAGTCATAAAACTTAAATATTTAATGTGCAAATATGTTTTAGTAAGTTTTTCAATTAATATAATTCAATGTTTGTGTTGTGAAAAGTGTATGCATTAAAGTGCTTGCAAGTCATTTTACAAAATATGTGAAACCGAGTGCCAGCAAATTGGCTGCATTTACGAATATGTATACATACATATACATATGTATGTACGGGTATGTGTAGATATGTACACATGAGTTTATGTATATACAGTCAGTCAATAAAGTTTAGGAACCGCGAATTTTCTACAATACGGGCAACTATTTTATAGATATTTAATTTTTCGCAAAACTTTTTATAAAAATATGGGGAAGACCTAAAGAATCCGGACCTTTGAACTAGAGAAAAAAGAAAAAGTGGGCGTGGCCCGCCCCCTTTTTGTGATTTTAACGGCAGTTTTTTTTTTGGTGCAAATTGACAGGGGCGGAGCTAGGGAGCGCTAAACGTGGAATTTTCAACATTTTCAAAACCTTATATTTCGAAAACTGTTGAAACGATTGCAAAAATATGGACACGGTTTACAAGGTAATTGGAAGGCCTTTCATTCGTTATCTATATCTATACATATTATATATATACAAATTTCGAGAACAAGTAAAAAAAAAATTGAAATTATAACAAAGTTGTTTACAAAAATGAGTAAATAAATATTAAAATATCGTTTTACATGAAAAAACGAAAAGCGGCGCAGGCGAAAATTTGGAATAAAAAATCGCGCTTTTATTTAAAAAAGAAAAAACCGCCACAGGCCCTGCCCCCTTTACCTTAGGGTCACTATAGCTAAGACGATACCACAGGTTATCATAGATCGATTTTTATCGATTTAGAATCCGCTATTTTCTCTTTTTTTATTGTTGTAAGTACAAGCGTAGTGTGACTATCTCTCATATATATAATTTTCAGTTTAAATGAAATAATTTTCAAATTAAGTGAAACCTTTTTCAAATGAAATGAAACCTTTTTTTCAGATTCAATGAAACTTTATTAAAATGAATGGATACTTTTTGAATAAAGTTTTATTGAATCTGTAAAAGTTTTCAATGAATTTGAAAAGGGTTTCACTTTATATTATAAGGTTTCATTGAATTTGAAAAAGGTTTCGCTTTGTTTGAAAATGGTTTCATTTAATTTGAAAAAAGTTTCATTTAAACTGAAAATGCTATAGTATTTTTCATCAAGTTGTCAAGGTAATGCTCGTGTATTTAAGTTGACAATGCAAATAATAGGTGCGTTCGTTTAAAATCTGCAGTAAAAACCAACCAACTGCCAAATTCCGGCGAATTGCATCTGTGCTCTCACAAGCGAAAAATATCCCAAATAGTACGCGAACAGAAAATTTGCAGAAACTTGCAAGTTAGACGAACAGCTGATATAATTTTTGTTTACATTCAAAAGTGTAAAATTTAAAACGTACGAAAAGTCATCACAAAGTGTTATACTGGCACAGTTTATTGATTAAACAAATAACTACTTATTTCTTACAAGTTTAATTAGTCGCATTTTGTAATTTTTAACTTCCAAACCATCAAATTCAATTTTGTGATTTACGTAAATGCCAACCAGCTGTTTTCCTGTTGGCAAATTGCTGTTGGCAAAATTTTTTCCAGCAGAAACCAGCAGCTTCCCCTCAAAATGAAATGTCACTTTGCTCTCTCAATAACCCCTACTTTGTAAGTTTTGTGCGTACGCGAACGCAAAAACTTGTAAGTTTTGGTTAAACATGAACAATTAACAGCTACGCGAACGCAACTAATAATTATCCAAAGAGAAAGTAAACCTCATGGACTTTAAAACAGTGCTGAGTTATTACAAAAAATAGATGAACATATGATGAGAAGTTCTCAGCTTTCAAAAAATNATAGATGAACATATGGTGAGAAGTTCTCAGCTTTCAAAAAATTGTGTATTGGATCTAGCACCCGTCACAGCCAATGGTTTGTTTTTAATGTAACTTTGAAAATACGAAAGCTTCCCATCGTTAAAATGAGGTAATTTTATTAAAAGTATAATAAATATTCATATGAAACAAGTAGCGCTCATTCTACTCACGAACTTTGCATCCTCAATGGAGACTCGTCCCACCCGCAACTAAATACTGTCCCGTCCACGACAAGCTAAAGGAGTTTTTTTTTTTAAATTTTCAAATATGATAGTAGCATTAAAGCATAAAATGGGCCTTAACATTCTATTATCTACATACGAGAAAGGTGCTTTGATCGAAATATTTATAGTGTGTCTAAAATTGGGTAACAAATCCACCAACTCATAGAGGCGGGTGTCATCGTTGCCCCACCCACCAATTTCTTTCCTCTGCCATTAAGGGCATCATCTCCTTTTATTTCTTAAGCAACTACAAACTACTCGTTTAATTGCCTGCGATATTTAGGATCTATTAAATTTTTATTTACATACGTGTGCATGTGCAAACTGAATATTACTAACTACATAAAGTATGTAAATATATGGGTTAAAGAACCCGTTCCATGCATTACTGGATTTACCGCAAACAGAGAATTTGTCAAATCAGTCTAGCTTGAATAGTCATTTCAAAATATCCTATATGCACATACATATGTGAACGTGATATTTGTTTGTTTTATTGTTCAACACAAAATCTCTCGTAAAAATGAAATTTTTTTTGTGCCAACCATTTGAGACCTCTGATGATGAAGAGGAGGAAGAGGTGAGTGAAGAAGACCAGCTAGAGGAATCAATTGAAGATGAAGACGGAGACGAGACTGCCGATTCCAATGCAGAGGAGGATTTACGGGACGAAAATGGCATCGAAGGCCAACCACCCATTACCGCCAGCAGTAGTGAATCGAAAGTAGCACATAATGGAGACCACAAAATTTTAATGAGCAAATCAGAGGAGTCTCAAAATGATTCCGATGCTTCTGTAAGTAGTGACGCGGACATTTCTGTGAAAAATGTTAATGGCAAGCTGGATGTAAATAGCGGAAAGCCAGAGGAGTTGGACAAGAAATCCAAAATGAACGGTTCTAAATCTCCTGGTAATACGAAATTTATTACGAACTCCACAAGTGTACCAGCACGCATGAAAAATGTCAGTACCGAGACGATGGTTTTTGCGGCTATAAGAAGCTTAAATGAGCGTGGCGGTTCTTCGACCATTGCTATCAAAAAATACATAACGAATAATTATCCACAACTGGATGGCCCGCGTACGCTAATGCTAATCAAGAAGTTTATAAAGAAGGCCCTGGCAAATGGAAAATTGGTACAGGCGAAGGGTACCGGACTAGGCGGCTCGTTTAAAGTGTCTGCAGAGTTGAATCGACTAGACGAAAAGAAAAAGCGTCAGGACCAAAAGAAGCTTACGCAAAAGGCTAAGAAAGATACGGTAAGATTTGATGTGTTTTTGAATTTTGTAAGTAAAATTAAATAAAATTTATTTAAATTAGGCTGCTGCCAAAGCGGAAAAAATGCCGAAAATATCAGCGAAGGCAGCAAAGAAAAAGGCGGAAAACGGCGAGAAGAAAACAACCGCCGACAAAAAAACTACGAAAACTAAAACAGCGAAGACATCGATCAAAATAGGTGATACAGTTGAAAAGGCGCCAAAGGCGTCAGCTACAACGAAGAAGATGGCAAAAGCAGCCGATAAAATTCAGCCGAAGAAAACTACTTCAAACGAAATAAAATCGTCAACCATAGTCAATAATAAGCCGGCGGAGAAGTCTAAGGCGACAAGTCAAAGTAAGAGCGCTAAAGCTGATGCAAGTAGCACAACAAAAGTGATAGCAGGCAAGCCGAAGAGAGGAGCACCCGCTAAATCTGAAGCTCCCATAACGCCACCAAAAGCGGTATCAAAGGTTAAACCAGAAGCAACGCCGAAAAAGAAACCGACCGCCAAGGCTAAGACAACTGCTATAGAAGTTGCTGAAGTGGGCGCTGGCGACGCGGATACTGTGAAGACGACCAAAAAGCCTGCGGCAAAGAAAGGCAAAGCAAAATGAGGCTGTGGAAGATACATACATACTTGCAAATCATTTTAGAGATATAGGTGTTTTTTTTTTGTATTTAGTTTTTTGGGTATTCGATTTTTTAACTAAACAAATATTTATCTTTATTAATGTTGTTTACTTTCTTTTGAAAATTTTGTTCGCGAAGCGTGTGTAGATTTTGTCAAATATATAAGTAAATACATATATGTAGATTTTGAAACTATTTAGGCCATCCTTTTCTTTTTAAAGTGGATGAACATGCTGGTTCTGATTATGCGATATATGTACAGTGGTGGTCACATAATTACTTTTCTTTTCTACTTCTTTTTAAGATTTGACCATTAGGTTACTCTTTGCTTATTTTTAATAATACTTTTGAAAAACATAGTACTACGACGAAGGCCATGCCTCATGGGAGGCAAATTAGCAACACCGTCAGCAAAAAATAAATTCTCAAAAATGAACGTGAGTTATTAGCTTCTTGAAACTTGCACAATATTATTTTTCTAGAAGTCTCGATTATAAAGATTTAAATTTTGATAGCAATTTTTTTGGAATTTCGCTATTTTTTATAAATCTTGTACAAGGTTTGAAGCTTTGAATTATTTGGTTTTCGTTGCGGGTGAAACTATATTTTTGTAAAAAAATATATCAAAGTAAAGAAACAATCGATAAAACTTGTAAAGAAGTAGTGTCCCTTATTATGTGGCCACGACTGTATATGCATATTAGGGTGTGCCAAAAGTTAGTTCAGATTTTGGTTTTGGGCTCTTCGTCTCTAAATTATTGGGGTCACCAACTTTCGACATAAGGCAATACGACACATTGTTTTGTCCGAGCTAAATAAAAAGTAAACTAAACAACGTGTGCAGAAAACGACACTCAGGCTATATGTGACCCGCTGTACTCTATTCAGATTGTTGTTGCTTTAGCGGAACTACTACGCTCCGTCTAGGTCGGTTGTCGTCAAGTACAACTAACAACGACCAAAGGGAGAGGGGTCTTAGCTGAGTGGATGCATGCCGGGCCCTCATTAGGGATATCGGGGACGAGTCTGAATAAGTAGCTAAGACGAAATGATGCCTTCTGACGTGCATGGGCGTAGGCTCAGGCAAGAGTCTGTTAGGGGGCTCACGCCTCTGGAATCCCACATGAAATTGCTTGCTAAGCATTTTGTTATTCTCGCTTACAAGAAGCATTTGGATAACGGCAAATGCCATAATCACATTTAGTGAATGCCAAGACTCCTAATTAGCGGAATCCTTACATGCCAGGTTAAAGTGATAAATATGTTAATTAAGTGGATCCTTTGAGGTTGCATATTAGTGAGACGGTAACAAAAACAAAAAAAAGGTTAGATGCGTAATTACCAGGTACTCCCAAGTGATCTGGCATCCAGAGGAAAACATGTTCGTTATTTTTTCACACATAATTTAGTAGAGACTTGCATGGCCGAATCAGTCTGGAAGTTGTTAGAGGGTCGGCGATGGCTTGGGTGCCACTTGGCTGCCACTACCGACACATAAACCCTTCCCCGAAAAGAAACGTGAAGCCCATCACCAGTATCTTCCATATGGACATCAGATCCTGACACAGTGTCAGTTTTGGAAGTATCAGTAAAGATTCGATAGTGTGTGAGCCCGAGCTCAGTATTGGAACCAAGTCAGAATTCATCCCCAGGGAACACTACTTGGTAGAATCTTCTCAGCATATATAATGGGGGAATGCTATTCTGTAGCATTGTAAAGACACTTGTGTCTACATCTCTGTCATCAGCAATCCCGGCCTCACCCCACAGAGTGTGACTAAAGACAAAATTAAAAAAAAATTTAAGACAAAATTCTGAATACAAAAATACTCATAGTGTTAGAGAAAGGTCCAAAAGAGAAAATTTTCAATTTGAGCCACCCAGTTCAATAGGGGAAAATATGACTGGCTCCACAACAAACTTGCGTCATCTAGTATATTTGCCTAAAATATTAAACAAAAAGTTTATAAACAAAATTCTTCGTTTATATGTATGTATTTAAATAAAATAATAAAAAAAATATTGATCAGAAATAGGAAAAAATGAAAAATTCTCAAAAAATCGTAAATAGAACCAAAGAAATTATGCAAAATGATCTGCGATATTTTAAACAGCGGCCTAGACACTGGTCTGCGGCCGAATTTGTAGGCGATAATAGCTCTGGTATAACTTCATGGAGTTCAAAAGCATCTATGCAATACCGCAAATTCAATGCGGAGGCATTGGTGTTGAGAGCTTTGAAGAATATCAGCGATCGCAATGGTTCGTCTGTGGTGGCGATTAAAAAGTACATTACAAATCACTATCCCTACGTGGATGGAAAGTTTACGCTCTCAGTTATCAGAAAAATCATAAGGAAATCTTTACATAAAGGAAAAGTTGTACAGTCTCTGGGCAGCACATCAGACGGCTTGTTCAAAATATCAGCTGGCGAAATTCGAGCCGAGCAGCAGCAGGAACAATTTAAGCACTATAAGGAATGCATGAAACTAAGAGAACAGCAAAAATTGGAAATGGTGAGTGGATATGTAATCCTTAATTAACCTAATTCCAGTATTAACCGTATCAATTATAGGAAATAAGAAAAAATAAATGCAGGGCCCAGGAGGAGAAGAGTCGTAAAATTTTCCAACAAAAATTAGCGCCACAATTAAAGCGGCAAAAAGGGGTCGCGAGTGCTGCAAGGGGAACAAAAGCCAAGTTGTCTGCCCCGGCAGCTAGAGATATAATACGTTGCATGCAAGGATGGCAAAAATCTTCACCCTCCATGCTTGCACCAGCAAAATTTCGATTAGGTGCAGGAACCTCAAAGACTTTCCAGCAAAAACCTCAAATAGTCGATTATGCGCATGCAGCTTTGGAAACAGCGAAGATCATTAGCTCCGAACAACTAAGACATGCAATTATAAAAAATGCTGAATATACACCATATTTTGCAACATTCGATTGCCATGATGCTAAACTTAACACAAATAAAGGCATGCCCATAAAATATGAGAGAGCAGTAAGAGGACACAAAAAGGTCCCAGTACGCGTTGCAACAAGGCCCAGAGTGTTTAAATCAAAATCAAAAATAACGCCGACATCGGAACGTTTAAGGTTTACAGAATTTAAAAGAAACAACAAGCTGGTTGCAGATGCACCTGTGAACTTAACGCCCCCACCTGCATTGCCTGTTGTTAGGGAGCATGCCGTACGATCAAAGGAGGCTGTAGCTGGAGGAAATTTTCGGAATGCTACAAAGCGCGGAAGAGTGAACACTGAAAAACTGAAGTAAATAAGTAAGTAAGAAAGAAAGGAATCGGTATAAATATACATACGAGTACTTTGTTGTGTTGAAAATCTGTGAGTGTAATAAAAGTCTATACGTGTATAAAGGACATTTTCTTTCGTAGGTATTTATGGGTCAATTTTGACTTTAACAAATCGCATGGTATTTCCTAATTCTGCAAATAATCCTAAGAGAAAGTATAGAAGAAACCATGGGTCGGAAGCCTGCTCATTTTTAAATTTGCTTTATTTGCTTAAACCATTTTTAAAAAGTAAATCCATCTGCATTGTGAATGTTAAAGTTAAAAGAACAACAAACAGTAAAAAGTAATGGTTTTTGAAATTTAACATCAAAACTCGATATGAAGACGTCTAGGACTTACCGTTGATTTTTGCCAATTTTTTTTTGGCTGGCGGGCTCTCTTACATGAAAGACGATTTTTATATGGAAAAACTACATTTACATTTTTGCGAAAGTTTGCAAAGTTTTTTTAATACTGCACAAGTTTGAAACTTGGATTTATAAAATTTTTGCTAAAGAGTAAAACATAACCCTAAATAATTTACTAAAATTAAATAGCGAAAAAATAAGTTGTTTATACTTTTCAATTTGTGGTGCGTTTATAATTTTGATAGCTATTTTGGAGGGTTAATATGGTAAATCAACTAAAAATGTTAAAACTAATTCAGAATTTCCACTAGGCATTAATGGTGAAAATGATAAATGCCAAAGTTGGGCATTAAAAAATATTCGTTTCATTACGTTAAAAAAAGTATCATTAAGTTCATTTCCATATGGCATTTTTAAATGGTATATATTTTTTTGGTAATTTCAGTGCCTAGTGTAAATTCGGCGTAAGATATAGGTATTTTGTAAAACCGGCTTGGGACGTAAAAAAAAAAAAATGAGAAAAGGTAAATTTTTCTTATAAAAATGCGCAGACTGGAAACTCATTTCCGACTTATAGTTTCTGCTATATTTTCTCTTAGAATTAGTTGCAGAAAATACCATGCGAATAGTCAAACAACTTTCGTCCGAACAATTTGAAACATCCGAATGTACATATAGCGTAGCATAGAAGTACGTAGAAACATATCAAGATTGCTGTTGATAGAAAGAGAGAGAAGCAACGTCTACGTCACGGTCATGCGGTCCAACCTTTTTTTGAACACGCAGATCCCATAAGATAGCTGACACGTTTTCCGATTTACGTCCGTGGGTAACTGCGCTTTTAATACCTAGAATGGATATGCTAGCAACGACAGGTCCAAACTGTGGCTTAAGTAATTTGATTAATCTTCAAATGTAGTTTATTGTAATGATTTTTGATAAAGTACATATCTACACTGGCGGCAGAAACAATGGACTCATCGTACTTCTAAAAATTTTGGCTATATTTCTTTAGTGTATTTCATGTTCAATATTTTTTCTTATAAAATTCTAGGTAGTTATACAACAAACATCATATAGATACGCCTTTCAGACTTTGAACAAAAATTATAAAAATTCGACAAATTTTCACCAAATTTTCAAACGAAATTGTCAAAAATCAACGAAAATTTCTAGCCACTTGAAACGTGCACTTTATTATGCTAAAATTGAATGGTCTACAAAACTGCATACAAAAATTCTGAATAAAAAGCTAAAAAATTTTGTGGGAATTTTGGGATTTGTCGAATTTTTTGAATTTTTCTATATTGTTCGAAGAGGGGATTTATATGGTGTTTGTTGCATAAGTAGCCAAGGCTTTTATAAAAAAATATTAATATATTAGATTCCCTAATTAGAGATTTGCAATTGAAAAAATAAAGCTTTCAAAATTCAAATCGCACATTCTAATTTTTCACGCCTTGTTGAGAATAAGAGTGAGTGCAGGATGGATAGGGCCGTTTAAGTCCATATGGCATCTCGGTTGAAATTCTGTACATACGAATATTTATTTGACAAAATTTCTTTTTTAGGCACTAGAGGACTTGTTAAAAATCGACTATTCGGCTATTCGGTTAATCGTCTAGTCGATTAGCAACTCTTTGTCGGTTGATATTTGAATAGCAATATTTGATTATCTGCTCGTATTCGACTAACCTCTATGGATTAGTCTGAAAATCGAGTAAAAGAATTCATTCAAATAGTGACAGTTTTTCACAATAAAATTATTGCTATTAGCGCTGTTGGGTTTTGTCAATAACCATAAGTATTTAAAAGATATAAAAAAAAGTTTACTGAAAGAAAATAACTAGTTGAAAAATCGAAAATGAACGGTTAGTCGAACTGTTGTTTGCATGCGGTTAGTTGAAAAAGTCGAAAGGAAACGGTTAGTCGATTAATTTTTGAAACAACTCTTGCTATTCGACTAACCGATTAGTTGACTAACAAGAGCTCTACTCGTATCGTTTTATCGTCTGCGCTACTCGCCGTCGACAAAAAGCAAAGGCCCGTAAGTCAAAATCTTTCTCTCGAATATTCCAGAAGCCACCTCATCGGATGTACATAGTCATTGTCCATGCTTCTGTGCCATAATCAAGCACGGGCATGTGACTTATTGAATGAGGTTTCTTACATAGGCCGAAGACTTTACTTCTGGATTGCCTGCTCAGTCCAAAGTAGCACTTGTTGGAATAAGTGATTCTAAGATGGATTTCGATGCTGACATTACCGGTGTTAATGCTGGTTCCCGAGTACACGAAATTCTCCGCTCTTTGTTAGATGACAGGAGATATTTCGTCTTGTATTCGTTGACCGCCAAACCCAATCGCTTTGCTCCCTTGTCCAACTTGGAAAAGGCAGAGCAAACTCCGCGGTTTTTGTTACCGATGATGTCGAAGTTATCAGCATGTGCCAGCGATTGCTCGCTTTTGTAATAAATTATTCCGGATCGCCTTTCTTGTGGATTGTGCAGAGCACACCTAAACTCCAGTCGTCGGGCATGCGTTCATCTGATCACAATCTGCATAAGAGATGATGCATGTACTTTATCAACTCCTTGCCGCCGTACTTGAATAGCTCAGCTGGCAGACTGTCAGCTCCAGCAGCTGACCGTACCTGGGCATTGTCAGGCGGTGGGACATCGACTCCATCGCCGTCGACTGGTGGCTCGGATACGTCTTCTCCATTACATAGTTTCAGCGCTATTGCCATTCAGTACGTTCTATGTTCTGTCAAAAATTTTTATTCAGTGTTAAATCAAGATTCCTCATTTATTTTACCGTAAAGAAAACGAAAACGATCTTTAGCGCGTCTATGGCGAGTCTCTACAAATTAAGTTTTGACTTTTTCGAGACGCGAATTACTTTTTGAAATCATTTCTAATATTTATGTAGAAACTCTAAATATGCTCATTAAAACAAGAAGTTCAATCCTGCCTAAAAATATGCATATGCATGTATGTATGTATTAAATTCTTTGATTAAGTCATACGCTTAATTGCATTAAATCGAAATTTGAAATACATAAATGGCTTTGGGTTAAATTTCGTTTATTTAACCTTTGATGTAACAAACCCCCTGGAGAATTTCAAATAACACAGACCGCTAACGCAATTTGGGTAGTTCATTTGTCTGGTTAAGAAAAAAAAGGTCCACATCTAAATATTTAAATAGTAATACTAGTTGAGACAACAACGAAAACCATTTTGTTGGCCAACTGTATGCCGCAGCAAATGCTAAAGGGTAAGCACATATATGTACATAAAAGCAAATGTATGCATTAGGGTGGTCCAAAATAAGTAAAGTTGGAATTTTAATGCTCTCACCTCCTACGATGATTATATACCGAAAAAATAACCTTATTTTTTTATTTTCAAATCAAAAAATATTTAGAGGTCGCTCAAAGCGCTCAAAGGTTTCCATGTATTTTATATGGAAAAAACAACTATTCGTAGAAATGGTAAGGAATTCTTGAAAATCAATATTTTTCGATCGTCAACATTCGTTTCTTTTCAGGACACTTCCAATAACAAGTATCAGTTATTTATTTAACCATTTTTTAATAAAAGAAAAGATTTTTTATCCATCCCCCCATTGCATTTTCTGATATTTTCTGCGGGTTTTGGAGGACCTATTAAATATAGTTACTATGAAAAATGGTTAAATAAATGATGAAATAAATGACTGGGAATCTCTTGATGAGAAACAGATCGAAAATATTGAAAGTTTTATACCATTCCTACGAAAAGTTACTTTCTCCCATACAAAATACATGGAACACTTTGAGCACTTTGAGCGACCTTTAATAATTTTTTGATTAAAAATAAGAGGCGTCTATTTTTTCAATATAGAACAATCCTAGCGGCTGAGAGCACAAAAATTCCGACTTTTTTCTCATGCATTTTTGCACCACCCTAGTATGCATGTACGCGCATCTTGCCTAAAAACGGTTACAATTTTGGCTTGACCAAATAACCCTTACATTTATCTTATGGATATATATATATGTATGTACAAAGAAACCGTGAAAAAACGAGCTGCAAGAAAACATAAAAAATTCAAAGATAAAAATATATGTATGTATTTGCCTCAGTTGCCTGCTAATAAACCGCTATAAAAATCACAGCTGGAATTTAATTAACTAATTTGGAATATACTATGTACTTGTTATATCAATTTCTTAGCTTTATTTTAACACACTTTATTGCTCGCTTAGCGCACATTCGAGCTTCAGACAAATTGCTGATAAATTCTTAGTGGCTTAGATAATATAAGCGGCCATAGATTCGCAACTTCCCTGCTCACTAT